TAACAGGTCTTCCAGGAACGGTGGCGTACTTAGATGACGTCTTAGTGGCGGCTCGCTCTAAGGAAGAGGGGCTTGCCCGTCTGGCGCAGGTGCTGCAACGCCTTGATGAATTTGGTGTTCGAGTAAACCAACAAAAGTGTAAGTTTTTGCAATCTTCAATCGAGTATTTAGGACATGTGATTACTCGAGATGGTCTCCGTCCACAAGAAAGTTTGTTAACTGCGCTGCGTAAAGCGCCTGAGCCTAGTACTAAGGAAGAGTTACGAGCCAATATTGGTCTAATAAATTATTATCATGCATTTATACCTAACCTGTCTGCTAGAATAAGCTGTTTTTATGACTTATTACATAAGGATCATCCATGGGTGTGGTCGGAGGTGTGTTCTAAGACTTTTCAGGAGAGTAAATCATGGGTGTTGGACTCAAGTTTGTTAGTTCACTATGATGTTAAAAAGCCCATAGTTCTGACGTGTGATGCGAGTCCCAGAGGGGTGGCTGCTGTTCTATCTCATCTTATCGATGGTCAGGAAAGGCCAATTGCCTTCGCATCGAAAACGCTAAGTTCCAGTGAACGGAATTATTCTCAGTTACATCGGGAGGCTCTGGCTTTGATCTTTGGAGTCAAAAAGTTTCATAAGTATATATATGGAAGACACTGTATTCTACAGACTGAACATCAGCCGTTGACGGCTATTTTTGGCTCTAAAAAGGGCGTTCCTAGTATGGCGGCAGCTAGGCTGCAGAGATGGGCCTTGATTCTATCAGCATATGATTTGGAGGTTAGGTACCGGAAGGGAGTGGATGTCCCTCACGCTGATGCGTTGTCTAGGTTACCCTTAGCAGAAGCGGAACCTATAGAGCTGGATGCTAATTTTGTTTCACATGTAGATATGTGTACAGAAGTGATGAACAATTTCTGTGTTGTTAAGGACATTGCACCTATTACTGCCTTGCATATAGGTAAAATGACGGATAAGGATCCGATTCTTTCGAAGGTCCGAGATTTTTTGATGTACGGCTGGACGAGCTCGGTTGAGCCGGAACTAGCTATTTTTCTAAGGAAGAAGGACGAGTTGTCCGTGGAACAAGGTTGTTTGCTGTGGGGTTCTCGTGTAGTGATTCCAAAGAAACTGTATTCATCTGTGCTTCAAATGTTGCATGATCAACACCCGGGAGTTACACGCATGAAGATGCTGGCGAGAAGTTATGTCTGGTGGCCAGGCATGGAGAAGTCGATTGAAGACGTGGTGGCCTCTTGTTCTGCGTGTCAGTTAACTAGGAATTCGATACCTAAAGTACCGTTGCAGCAATGGCCTACAACATCAACCCGATGGCAGAGGATACACATTGACTTTGCGGAGGATCCAGAGTCGAGACAGCAACTTTTAGTTTTGATTGACACATACTCTAAATGGTTAGAGGTATTTATCATGAGTTCCATGAATTCTTCCAAGGTTATTGAGAAACTCCGTACCTTGTTTTCATCGTATGGATTGCCTGTCGAACTGGTGTCGGACAACGGAAGATCTTTTACTAGTCAAGAGTTCAAAACCTTTTTGCATAACAACAATGTGAAGTTCACATTAACTCCCCCGTATCATGCGGCTTCAAATGGATCTGCGGAGAGAAGTGTTCAGGAGGTCAAGAAAAACCTTTTGCGTCAAGTGATTGAGGAACATCAGCGTTCTCAGCGTACCACTCTTCAAATGAAATAAGATAATTTCTTGTTTGCGTACCGCAACACTCCAAATACAGTTACTGGCTTAACCCCTGCAGAAATGTTCCTGTCTTGGAAGCCTCGTACTCAGTTGGTTATGTTAAAACCCAATCTCCAGTCATCCATTGATCAAAAACACAGGGAACAAAAAGATGCAGCTGATAGGCTTAGGGGAAGAAGCAGATTTTTCTCAGAAGGTCAGGCAGTCTATGTCAAAACTGTCCGAAATGAAAAGATATCTTGGGTTCCTGGCAAAATAATTCTAAAGAGAAGTCCGGTCACCTATCTGGTGAGTGTTATTGGTGGAAAACCCCGATTTTGTCATGCGGATCACTTGAGAGCTCGGTATGCAGAAGAGGAGGAGATTTTTGTATCAACCAAGGATCCCGTTGTATCACCCCAAGTACCCAAGAATTCACCCCCGCCGGAGGATCGACCAACTAGTCCCATGATGATGTCACCTGTACCTAGGCCTACTACCAGTCCCAGGGAGAGCCTAGGGCAAGCCCAGCCTCAGCCAACTCCTGCGTCGCCGCTAGCACAGTGCAGCCCACCACCCTCGCTGAGGAAGTCTGCACGGACTGTGCGAAAGCCTCACAGGCTGGACTTGTAAAATTATTAATGAATAATGGGAAGAAGAAATTTTGGTTGCATTTTATTGAAAGTGAATTTATTTTATTTTGAAAGTTGAGTTAATTTTGAATTTATGATATTGACTTTTTTTATGGGGAAGACGAGTGTAGTAGAAGTCATTATAGTTTCATATATGAACAGTCATAATTATTAGTACCGGAAGAGTTATTATGTTTTGCGGGGTGGCTGCACTGTGCACTGAGCCCTGAAGTGGGATGATTCGTCACGGCTCGGCCTTCTATGTCCAACAGCGATCGTAAGTGGTTCTTTTATAATTACTGTCCACTTTTCTAACGTAACGGTTAGGTTACGACATAAACAAACAGAACACTCACTACCTCTACAGTGCACCAGATGGAACTAAGAATACAATTGTCTTCAGCTGGTCTATAAGGATGAGAAATCTACTGATGGAGTATCTTTTATCTGGTTGAACGTACCAAGCAAAGCAAGAGGTGAACGGATACAGTACTAAAATTGAACTGTACTGTTAAAAAATCACAACAGGCGCCAGAATTTGAATCCACAACACCGTTACCATGGGTCTATAGTCTGTTGCGCTACTGCCAGACTTGTTGACAGAGTTGGTGCGGACTGTGCTACCAACTCACCATTAATATCATCGTTGTTAGTATGAACTCCTACAACCTGAAGTAATGTGACAAACTGTACCAGGTCTGCGTCCAACAGAGTACAGTGTTTTTAGTGAGTGGTCTAGTTGAGGAGTCTCACACTACAGGCTGGCAACCTGTGTGAGTAAATGTGTTTTTACATCTTTTACCTGACAAAAAAATTAGCTCATATAGGAGTGAGTCACTTGGTGGAAAACTAGTTAAAGTAAACACATCACAACTTAAATATTTATGTTTCTATGGAAACAATTCACTCTGTTCAATTAATTGCTGACAGACATTAAATGAGTGGTGTTAAAATTGTTCCTAGTCAAACTCCAAAAATCCAGGAGAAAACTTGGTAGAGTTCATCCATTGGCTGCCCCATTGCTCCAATCAGAAATCATGCGGAGGATAACTAGCAAGAAACCAAGTGGAGGTTTATAATGAAGATGGGAGTGAAGCATGGTAACCACGCAGGTACCTGATCTATGTTTCATCGTTGCACCTGTACTGGAAATAAATGCCAAAGGAGTAGGTGTGGTTGAATACGTGGGGAACCATCACAGGAAGCAGCCATTGAAGGACATGGATTCACAAAACATGGATAAAATGATGGAAAAGCTGGAACTTAAAAAACGAGGAAGTGAGGAGATTAACAAAAGAGCAAGATGATGAATTTTTGTCAGAACAATGAAGATGAAAATTAGAAAAGGATAATTTATTCAAGATTGATATTATTTAGAATGAAGTCCTAACAATGTATATAGAATTAGGTATCTTTTTAATGTACAATTAAGTATTTTACCTAGGCCTAAGTATCTAGTTTTAAGTATCTTTGTAATTATATAAATCTGACCGAGTGAGGTAGCATCATGCTATTTCACATTCGAGAGGTCTGACTATCAGACCGACCATTCTGAGGAGAGTTTGTACGGTTTCTTTCCTCACTTAGGCGAATGCCGGAATGGTTCCCTCAAGGGCCGTACCCCGCCAGGCAGAATAGAAAGGACTATCCTCATTCTGCTTGGTTTATCAAATCCATAGTAGGTAAAAATTTTAATAAACTAATGAACAAAAACATTTTATTTCTTGTTTGTATATTTGTTTAAAACATTTGTTTTGTATTATTTTAAAACTTGTTATCATTAAAAACTAGGGATCGAGACAAGATCAAAAAGAGATTAGATCCCATTACTATCAGGAATTATTCGTTAGTGCAGTTTTATAATGGTTAATAAATAATAATATAAATCACTGTTAAAACAATAACTGAAGTACAACAACTTTATTACAAAGGTTAATACATTACAATTGGTTAATTTATTACAAAGGTTAATACAAAGAGTGTGTACAAAATAACAAAAACTTAAAGAAAAAAAAATATCTTTAATGTAGGAACTTGTACGGTGTTTTTTGTTATTTCTGATCTCAGTGATAATAATATCATATTGTAAAACCTAGTATATCCGGTATAGATAAGGCCAGGGTCATAACAGATAAACGAATTACCAGTAAAAACAATTTTACTGCCTTCAGAAAGTCTCTGCAATACCCGCAATACAAGAGCGTGTTGTTGTTGCGTTTCGTTTGCGAAGGCTTTCTTAATTTTAATGTTAATCTGGTCTCGAAAAAGTCTTGGAGCAAAGTCAATTTCTCGAAAACTCTAGACCTGTCCATCTTTATTAAAAATGTTTGATTGTTTGGCACCTTGGTATTAACCCATATGTAACTGAGTTTTTATGTTATCTAATATTAGAAATGTCTATTTTTTTTTAAACATCCAGTATCCAGTTTAACAACAGTTGTAAATTTTGCCAACATACTCCAAAAAACTCCATCGAATATTAATTGTAGCATAAATCCACCATTTCAATTTAGCTTTTAGAATGAAAGCGGTTTGTTTATACTTATGGTGGATCAAAAATATGACCACACTGCTCTTGAATTGAATTTAGTGGAACACATTCATAGACACGAATAAAAGTTTGTGCAGTAGTTGTTAAAACTGCTTTATCAGTACCAATATTTTGTTTCAGGGGAATTTGGAATTTAGACCTTTGTGTCGCACTGCTCCCTGCTATTGGAGAACTTTTGCAAAGCAAATTTGAGATGTAAGTACATTATTTCTTAAATAATGAATGTATTTTAAAATAAGAGCTTTAACTTACCATTGTAAGCGTCAGAGCTATTGTTGCCGTTAACAAGTATACCTTAGCTATTTTGTGCCAACATTTATGTCATCTTCATGGTTAAAACATCAAGCTGCTCACAGTACGGTCCACGAGAGTCTTCAGTTGAGGGAGGAGCCTATTTACCACATGACTTCAAAGGAGTCAATGTGGACAGTGCGGTGTTGCCAAATCAATAATACCACCCGATTAAAAAATATGGTGGTGTTATGGTGGTGTTATGGTTAAATATGGTTAGTTTTTTAATGAGTGTCGAGAATTAGTGAACGGGTGATGTAACGTCGTGCTAGTCCAGTCTTGCTACTCTCGTGGTCCCTAGCATGGATACAAATCCATATACAGCGCACTGCGGCGGTTTTGTTAGATTGGGTTATCATAAATATGTTTACGCCACATTACATTATTTTGACGAACTTCCCACACAAGGATTTAGTCCAGAAAACAGATGTTTGCCGCCAGCTTATTCGAATGGGGTTTCATTGCGTACTACTGTACTGTAATGAGTTTTACCGGACATCAATCAGCTGATTATAGCCTACTGTATTTAGGTGGCAATTATTAATGGTTATAAACTATAAACAAAATCATAACCTCTCTTAGAGGTTATGACTAGTGATTTTTAGTCCTTTAGTTGGTGGAAATATTTAAGGATTTGTACAAATTTAGTAGTATGGCGTAAACTATCGTACGTAACTCGTCCAAAATGTGTGTTCCGGACTCGTCCGGTAAACACTTATTTTCAGGACTAGTAACGTAATATACTATTGTAGGACTTTCCTCTTTTCATTATGACCTATGACCTAATCCTTAAAACCAAGTTCTGTTTTTCTATGTCACATCATCATCTTGTATTTGTTATTTCTGGTCCAAGAGACAATCCATCATAACACTATTTTTGTAGTATTACCGTACCTTACCTCCTTGGCCACTGAAGCAGGTTTTGGTCTTGCCACTGATCTTCGATTATACCTTACAACATCTTGGTGGCTATATATATTTAACCTTCTCTCTGTAGGAAAAAATCCCTTAAATGTCACACAAATTTCAGCAATTTTGCAGGGTTCATTTACTTACAATTTTTTTAGAAATATTATTAGGAATAAATATAAACTATTGTATATCATTTTGTTCACAAAATTCAGGATAATATTATATATGATAATAATGAAACTAACCTAGTACTGAAAAAATTGTCAGCATTGAAAAAACAATTTTTTTATAAATAATCTTCATTTCATGAAGTTGTTATTGTCACCACTTCAACCCACTTCACCTAGAAAAGTTTCAATATAGCCAAACTGTAGGAAATAAAATCTAGTTTTCAAAAACGCACAATGTTTATGGTCTAACCCTAACAATATTTACACTATGTACAAAAACCCTACGTTGATCATAGACACCAAACACAACTAACCTGTATAACCTACATTGCCGGTCTGACAGCTGCATACATCGCATATCCACTGCGATGAACGTAAAAATTGCTGTTTTATCCTAAATTGTAAAAACATTCGTCGCCAAACATACAAAGTGGTAAGCTACAAAGTAGTAGAAAGCTTATGATTCTAATAGTGAAAAAGTTGTGCCAAAATTGTTAAATTATGCAAATGGTGAGCGTTCCGACACTGACACTTCACAAATGACATAATGCGTTGGAAAACCAATGTGTAACAGAGAGAGGGTTACAGACTGAAATGCAGTCTGGAGTGGTTTAAGGATGGGGCTGGCCAACAGTAATGCCTTAACTCTAGTACTGTTAGGGGTGTATTCAAAAATTTTCCAGTGTGGGAATGTTTATCACGTATAACAACTGGTTAACATTGGAGAGGTTTACGATTTTGCCATGATTGCTCTAGACGATAATGATGTCCCCGCGACTGAGGGTGATGTTGACGTTTTTGCCACAACTACTGGATTTGCTTCCATTTCACTGCGATCGAGGGAAATGTTCATGATTTTACTGTGATCACAGAAATAATCACAGTTAAATCATGAGCTCAGAAGACTTTCAGGATTACGCCGCACCAACGACAGATGTTCACAATTTCACCACAAACAAGGAAGATGATGTTCACAATTTCAATTTCACCACAAACAAGTAAGATGATGTTCACAATTTCACCGATACCGTAGATGACCCTCGTGATTTTCACATCAACTATAGAGGATTTTCTTGATTTTACCGCCATCACAGTTGATGTCTAACTTATTTTAATGCAATTTAACATTGTTTTAAAGCATGTAGCCATTGTTGAGTTAAGACTTGAAAAACACAAGTCTCCCTTTAAATATTATAGGATTCATGGAAAAAGCAGAGTAACACTGTCTCCGGTCCCCACGTGACCTCGCCACCCTACACCACTGAGTACTGGTATTACTACGATATTCACCATTTTTGAAAGTTTTTTAACACACTTTTAGCTTAGCATTTCACTGGGAAATGGACACCACAGTTGTAGTTGCTACTGCCAAAACTGTAGCGGAATGGGTTAGTACAAGTAAACTCTGTTTAAAAACATTATTTTATTTTTGAAAGTTAATTCAGTCTGGATATCCAATAAACCAGATGTAAGCATACTCCAATTTCAAAAACTTGGCTCGTAGCAATTTGTTCCTTATAAGAACAAAAAAATGATCACGTATCAAAATGAAAATACTTCAATTTAGTTTAGTTATGTTAAAGAAACAAAAATAAATCAAGTGTAATCTCAAACCTTTCCTAAAAGAATGCTTGATTTTATATTTCTGTGGAGCTCAAAGTCTGCACTCATGCTGGGTGCAAAGAGGGGGGCCCTCCCCCGGAAAATTTGGAAAAATTTGAACTCCAAACTCGGGTTTTCAGGCATTCCAGAGGTGTAAAAGGTTCAAAAGAACTCAAAAATTTACCAAATTGTGGCTGTCTCTGACCGGTTCAGATTCAGGAAATAGTACTTCTCGATTAAGGAACACTAATAGGTACATAGGTGTAATAGGTAAACACACGTGATTTTTTTTGTAACATTTCGTTAAACCGTTCACAATGCACATTCATACCTAAACATAATAGCATACCCAGGCTTAACAACTGGAAGAAGACGCCAAAGAGAATAATAAGAAATAACAATCAATATTGTAATCCTACATCTGTAAATCAAATCAAATCAAATCAATTTATTCATCACAAAAATTCATAATACAGAGGCTGAATATTAGCAATGAATATGTGACATGTCAGTACAAATCATGCATTATAAATAGTTTACACATAATAAATAGACACAGGTATTAAGAATAATATAGTTTTTTAGATCTGTGTAAAATAGTTACACATCAATAATTTATTTTAAAAACAAAACATACATTTACTATTTAGTTTGGTTTTACGGATAAGTGGTTTACATTTTTTGTCAATCTAATATGGTGTAAAAGAGGTACTGATGCTTTATAAAAATCCTGTATCTATATGGTTTAGTTTGAAAATATACGCTTGCTTAAAAGCCAACTTTTAAAATCTTACTTAAATTTTAAGTTACTAGATCCCAAAGAATCTAACAAGGTCTTGTAGTATAGCATTACACAATTAATCACTTGATATTGATGTCACATAAGTAAAAGATGTTTTTCTTCAATGTTAGTAGTCAAGCCTCATCACCCCACTTTATAAATTTCACAGGAAACAATAATGAATAAATTCTACAAAACTTTTACTACCTTTGTTAATGAAACATACACCAGCTAATGCAGTAGAACCTTAATATCTCAAATTTGAATTGGTTGGTTATACACATTCGAGATATCGAGTTTGTTTTTGTGAGCGAGGTTTGAGTTATGAAGGTGATACAGTATACTGAAAGGTGAAAAATCAAGATACTGAGATGTTAGATTCTGACAATGATGTTAAATCACCACCTATATAACTCGACTTTTACGCGCAAAACTTGTATAAATCAAGAAAGGCCTCATCTTGCAAAATTGATATAGAATGTTTTTATCTTGGCACTGTTTTAACCACATCTTTACTCATTGAAAAAATCCACCTTCAGCCTCAAACTTGCCCTGTTTTTCAAAATCTTCATTAACAAGTTAAGGAAAATCCAAAATTTCTTGGAGGTTTTACCTTTTTTTGTTAAGGGCAAAAAAAAAGGTAAAAAAGGATTTTTGTTTTTTGCTGGACAACGAATCAGAAATCTCAGCTTGGGCTTCAGTAGCTATGTTGCGCCATTGAACAGTGCCGTGAGAAAATTCAAAAAATTTAAATTCCCATGTATTCTTATAAATGTTGTAGTTTGCTTGTTAATGGATATATTTTTATAAAACTTGGTAAATTTATTTATTTTATACTAAGCTATTGATATTTTACTAAAAACACACTTTATTAGTTTCCTTGTAGGAGCAAACCTAGGTACTCGTTGAACCAAATATTATTTGAATAGATTTAATTGAAAATCAATTCATACAAATGGAAATTCGCTTAGTTGGCAGGTTTGCTGCGGCGGCGGTATTTACATATTATTTTTTTCAACCAACATAAATACTTGGCAACCCTTAATGCTAATGTTAAATTTTTAAATTTTCAAATAAGTTGTGTAGCGAAATGCAAATTTTCCTACAGGTAGTGGCTGTTGTCAACTACGTTTTTGAGTCTATAAGTCCCTAATTCCAAAATTTTGTCAAAATCCTTCTGCTGGATTTTGAGATGTATATTACAGACAGACTCTGCTCGTATTAGAGTACAGGATAATAGATTTGGCAAGAATCACACACTACAAATTCAAGTTTAACTTTGTTTAATGGTATTAGTTGATTATTTAAAATAGTTGTCTAAACATATTTTTATTTTTGTTATTTAGTAGAAACGACAGTTTACTATTGTGTGTTTGGATACAGCTATTTATTTATAAGAAAGAAATTACCTGCCGATTGCCAACATAAACTTAGCCAACAAATTGTTTGAGTTTTAGAAAAATGTTTTGTTATATTTATATCGTTCTAATATTCCAACATCAGATTACTACTTCTACTTGGTCTGTAACTACTAACTGCTTAAGCTCATGGATGCACTCTATCTGAGGTACAACCTTTCTGAATTGGTCTACCGGTATCAATTAACCAAAACCATGGGGCCATCATGACAATCTTGTACTGTATTCACATTTTAAATATTACAACACTTAAATTATGGCTTGAATGGTAAGGAAGATCATCATCTTCCAATGCAATTTTTAAACAAAGATAGTTTACCGAACAAAAAGTACAGGGCTCGTCCGGGATTTGAACCCGGGACCTCTCGCACCCTAAGCGAGAATCATACCCCTAGACCAACGAGCCATGCTTACCAGCGGCATTACAAACCACTCTTGAAACTTCTAAAATTCTCTTACGTACCTTGCAAGATAAAAGTGGATTTCAAGATTAGGAATCGTACCTTGCAAGATAAAAGTGGATTTCAAGATTAGAAATCGCAGGTTTGCTGCGCCGGAGTATCAACAAAGTTAATTCTTGTATCCTATGTAAGAGCTGCAAACACTTGTTATCGACTGTTACATCCAGACTAATTGAATAGGTTGATGAACTATTGAATAATATTGTTTTGTATTATTAATTGTTAACATTTCTATCTTATTGAGATCAGGGATGGTGTTTGTAACGATACATTATATTGTTGTACACATCCGATGTGAAATAGTTGTATGTATTTATTTTTGCATTCTGTGTTCAGATTATGATTTGATTGGATTTCTTGTTGGATATTTAAACTGAGAATTGTACCCAACAGAATTAAGCTGATTAAATTAATTCCTACTTTTTCAAAATTTTGACATACTGTAGTCCTTAACTCTGATAAAATTATTTTTTCATCATTACAATACATTCCAAAAGCTTCTGCTATTTTTTTTTCTTCAGTTAAAAAAGTCAAATTGATCTATATGCCTGAAAAGTATAATAAACCTACAGTACGTGGTATATGTCTTTACAATAAAATCATATGTATTCGAAGATGAATTGAATCTTTTATGGATCAAAACTGGACCCATTTGACCTTGTCATCTGGTACAGTAACTGGTTAGTCAGCAAGAAGCTGTACAAGGCATCCACGTATTTATTCACTCACCATTCTTTTTATTTTAATGGAAAATCGCACGATAGTCTCTGTCTAAATGGTTAGTTTCATTTCATTATTTTAAACATTAAACTGTTTAGAATATCAGTTGCAATCGATACAATTGTTTAACCTGTATAAAATACGTTCTCAAAACGTAAACCTGTTAATGTGATGGATCCTCGATTTCTCGTTTGTCGTGTCATTACATGGTACAATGTTACATTTATCGTCCTCTCTCCATTCTCCGCCACTGCCACTGGCGCTCACCCACCGTTGTCCTGTTCCACCGCTGCACACTAGCGCTCTAAGGAGAGATCCTTTGAACTACATCAACGCGATCTACACTATCGACTTATCCGCTTCCTCGGCGTTTGTTGTGTTTATGATTATGTTTTCTTTTCGTAAACTCTTGGTTCTGACACGAATTTTTTTATTATTTACCTAATCGTTTTATAGTAAAGACTTTGACAGCATTAACCTTATACATTTTCTAAAACATTAATCTACAGTAATATCAGGTGTTATTCACAAAAGGTGCAAAACTTCAAAGGTGTAGTGTTTTTCCCATCAGCACAGTTAAATCCAACAATGATAATAGTGTGTTTATAAGTTGTTTTGATTTTGTTATGTTTTTCAAGAATCAATGTTTTTATTCCAGTAGACATATTCTTCTAGGTAGACACATACAGTAGGCCTATATGCATATGGACACTTAACAAACAAGTGGATTTATAATAGCCATTTATAATACATTGGCACAATGTAAAATTTACTGCATATATGTATAGTATTGATATCTTAAACACATTTGTATGCACGTAATTGATTTTAAATGGTGATTTTGCCGTAAATAAATAAACAAGTCATAGATAATTTACAGCATTAAAAATCAGGCATAAAAGACAGATGCAAAGGTCATGATAGGACACCGAGGACTACGGTGTACAGAAAAAACACATAACATATTAAAGAGAAAATAATTTCAAAAATTTCATTGGTTGGCCACTTGATTAACAGTAATAGGCTTGTTTATATTAATTTTACATTGTAAAGTCTAATGTGTTTTATGTGTCGGCGATTGCACAAACTGGAGTTGTTATGTTAGCCAAACTCCCGTTGTAATTGCATAGGACAAGTGATAGATCAAGTTTTGTTGAACGGTGACAATGGCTCCAGTTTTATTTTTTTTTACTTTAGTATTTATTTAATAAAACAAGTATGTCAGTTCGTCGCAGCTAATCAAGTTGCTAAGACGAAAAAATACAAACACGCTCTTTACATTGTTGGCATTAGCTGAACACTTATGAAAAATGTTTTGTTAAAATTTGTCGTATTATTTTTCTACACATCTAATATTACATACGGGTCAATTAGGTGACTTTGGTCTAATATCTGTTGTTTAGTACACATTCAAGAATTAGTTGAGGATCTGTTGGATACATCCTGGTTGCGTACTGATGTAAAACGGAGAAGGTTGGGATTTTTAAAATTGGCAAAATATGTTTCAGAAATGAATAGGCCTATGTAAACAATAAACGAAGTTGTCAACAAGTCGGAACACGCAATTCTGACTATTTTACTAATGTAAATATCCCTCGGCGATTGTCCAATTCAATTGTCGACGGACGTCGAATAATGAATACATTCGCGACAATCGCCGTAAAATTCGCCCCGCCTAGACCCTCGCTATTATCGCTAATGCAAACAAGGAGATTTTTTAGTCGCGGATAATCGGGCATTTGTCAAAAGTGGACGCCACCCGAGTCCCGAGTATTCAAATGATGTAAATGAAGATGTGACAACCGTAGGCTCAACACCCTCCCGGTGACTCGAATTGCAACCAGCGCTCGTACGTCCGTAAAAAATATGACACGGCGTTGAATAATAAATACGACGTAGGGCCAGGGTCAGCGGAGGTTTGAAAAGGGTTGAATACTCACTCGAAATGTTTTGTTGTGCTTGGCTGAATATGCGTTTAGATAGCGCTTGTGCATATCGATTGTTGGGCGTACGAGTGGATTTTAATATCTGTCGGGGGCATGTCAGTTCTGCGATTGTTTGTAGTGTCAATCCTTGTGATTTTAATATGATCGTTTTATTGAGTGGTTTGTTTTTGTATTGGTCTTAAAAAAAAAATACCACGCATGCTTTTAGCGAATTTCCCATATAGGGAATACGCTGTTACCGTAGTGTGTTTACTCATGGTAAGACCTGGACCCGGGCCCGATTTACTTTTTCGTTTTGAGGTCCCTAGAGGTCAAAAACACCATCCGATCAAATTCATATATATATGTACGTTAGTACGATAACTCGAGCAAAAATGATCCAATTTCAATGACATTTGGTACAAACGTGTGGGAACTGGGGTTTATGGGGTGAAAATAGGGTTTTCCCATTTTTGACCCAAAAAACATAAAATTTAGCAATTTATTTCCAAACCATTTTGTAGAGCTTAAAAATCAAATAATTTAGTATATTGAAGTGTTATTATGCACCTAATGGTTACAGAAAAAATTAAAAAAAATGTTAAATTTAGAATTCTCCTGTTATTCTTATAGAGAATAAGTTAACTGTTGTAGTTTGCTTGTTTATGAACGTATTTTGATCTAATTTGGAAGATGTATTTATTTCTTACTAAACTATTAACATATTAAAAAAAAAACACTTTTTACCCTCCCTGTTGCTATAAACCTTAGTACTCTTTAAACTAATTCTATTTTAATAGGGAATGAATGTGATATTTTTAAGGTGACATGCTAGTGTAAATCCAATCAGGCAAATGGTAATTCCCTTAGTCTGCAGGTTTGCTGCGGCGGGGGTATTTATATTGGAAACAGAAATTGTCTTTTGTATTGTTTCATCCTATCTCTTTTAATGTCTGACAATATTTTTATTCTGAGTGCTTTGAGAGGTTGTCTCGTTCATTCTGTATAAGACTTAATGCTCTATTTTTACACAGCTTCCTAGCCATTCCCTGTATAGTCGCCGTTGCTAATGTGTGTCTGTTGGCAGGTACATGACTGTTGGCGGAGACGCTCTCAAGCTGATCCTACACACCTTCACACCTGTTATCAAGTCCAACGTCATGAACGCGTCTCCCACTTGTGGCGTCGACATCTCCAGAGAGGAGAGGTAGGTTGCAACAGCTTCCTCATTTCACAACCTTCATCTAGGACTAGTCACTTTCCCCTAGTAACAAGAGGTTGAACCGCGACACCCTTAAATATTTCTGTTTTGCTATAAATAGTTGTCTAAAATATATTTTGTGCTTTTAAAGGTGGCTGAGACTATGTTTGTGTTGGCTTTAAGATGAAGGTTTCATGGAACATACTATAGGATGACAAATTAATATTACTCCTTAATGGAAATCCAAGTCACCATTCCAGTAAACCAGGGGTTTCACTCGAACAATCAGTATTCTGGGTCCAGACGTATTTTGTTTACATAATATTTGTGTAGTACAAAGTTTCAGACTCTTTGATAACGAAAAAAGTTTGAGCGTTTTGGTAATTTGTTGAATCTAAATGTTCAAATCACTAATGTCGCAAGTGGGTACCTCGCTGCATCTTTTCTAGAGTGAAATTTTGCGTTATCCATCTCAATTAACTTGTGCGATGTATAAACAGGTACAAGAAATGCATGAAATGCTACAACAGCTTGGTGGCGATCCGCACGTTTCTGCTCAAGAGACAGACGATGCAGGGCAAACTCGGCCACACGTTCAGAGAACTGCACATTCTGCTGCAGAATCTGGACGCCAACTGACAAGACTGATCAAATCAAACCCAACAAAACAAAACAAACATCGACGGTATTTTGTACTACACTACTGTATTTTACTCCACTTTACGTATTATTTTTAAGTTTGTCGCAAAATCAGTGTGCGAATTGTATCAGGTATTATATACTTACAGAATCGTTATTGTATACACTATATCAAAACTATTATTTTGTACCTTTTTACATATTTTGAATTCTATTTTTATTTTACAGAAATATTCATTTGTGGGTGTATCTCATTCCTTAAATTATATCTTTAGGATCATATTGATCATTTCAATAGTTTTTGTAGTCGTAGAGTCACATAGTTAAAAGTAAATTTTTGAAATGTACATTATATTTATCACAATAGAGGAACAGTGTGGCCTATAATATCTTTAACGCTTTAAGGTTGTAAATTTATTGAAATAACAAAATACCTGAAAGTCAACAGTTGTTTTGTATAAACATTCCAGCCATATCTGTAATAAAACCTATAAAGTAAATTAAGTATATTTTCATCTTTTTGAAACCCACAGAAAAAACAGGCTGAATTTATTATTATTAGTCAAGGTTGTCACTAATGCAATAAGTTGTGTTTTGTAAATTGTGTACTTATAATTTATAACTGAAACCCCTTGGTAGTATTCAGGGATTTATTTTCAAAAAAGAAGTATTTTAGTAGATTTTTGTTAAGGAATTAAATATTTTTTTACATTTTATACTTCAAACATAATATGTGCAATTTAAACTTGCCTTAGTGTAAGCTTTGCCAATATTCTGCTGGCAGATGTGAGATATAACCTAAATATTATGTACTAGTATTTGTTATTTTCAACTTCAGTATTGATGACATTAAGTATTCTAGAAATTAAAAATAATATTTCTGGGTTTAAGAGATGTCTAAGATTGTATTAATTTCAATTGGAGCATAAAATTAGTTTTTTTTCTTAGATAGAGTATTTCTTGTAACCTATTTTGTGTTGTCACATCAAATAGTTGCCTATATTTCATCACTTAGCCTGTGTGATGAACTATATTTTTTCGTCATATTGCACCAAACTATGTTGCAAAACAAAAAATATTTAGATAACCTATCAAAACTACTTCTACATTTTTTCCAATTTAATTTGCTAATAGAAACAAGCAGCTAATTAGTAAGTGATTCAAACATTTTATCTATTACAAATGTGTTAGTGTACATCAAACTCTCGATATGCCGAACTATTTACAATAAGGCAACAATTAACTACAATCAATTAAACAATCGATACATACTTTTGATATATACAATTGTTCACAATCAATTTTACAATTGAGTTTTTACTTCCTTAGTAGAGAGTAAAAATGCTACTTTAGGTTTTTGCTACAGTATGACGAAAATGATCATTTACTTCCATTGAATACAGTTAATCTTGTATTGATACAACTAGTTGCTATATTTGTACTCACATGCTCCTTTTCACATAGTAGAAGATAACATATTTCTATAGTAGAATTTTGCACAGAAATGTACAGTTAAAGTGGTACAGTATCATAAGATAACCCTATGTATTTTTGAAATATTTTAATAGTATTACATGTCGACTGCCTTATACTGAAACATCCGTCCATGTGTTGATGTTAATTGTTACTCACGATTATTGTCTGTGCCTTGTAAATATGTTAATCAAACTTGGATCATCTTGCCATTACTTATTGTAAATCTTTTCTATTATTGTTTAATCGTGATTTTTCTGTCTTTGTTAGTGTGTTTTTTTTAGTGTGGTGTTATTTTTCTAGTCTAACTGAGAATCTAATTTGAGGTGAATGTTTCAGTTATTTATTTTCCTTTGTTGGTTTTTTAAAGTGAGTTCTAACTACAATGTTTTCTTGCAGGGTAATATAGTATAGGGATTTGTGATTTAATAACTTTAACAAGATAATGTTGTGTTATTCCAAACAATAATATTTAGACAATAGTAAAACCATAGATAAAACATTCTCCCTTAGTAGATTTCTCATCCTAATGGAGCAACTGAAGCCAATTTTATTGTTAGTTCTGTTCGGAGAGGTCAATTTCTTTCTTGTTATTTCAGTCATTTAAAACCTCAGCGCTCTAACTAATGTATAAACAATGACTCGTCCTCTGGTTATATAACCAAACAGTAAAGCACAAATCATGAAATTAGCCCTAAACTAATAGAAACAAAATTTCTTCAACACTAGCGATCAGTGTCACGGACATGAACTAGAAAAACGAGCTTCGAAATTTACAATTGGATGAGAAGTCTACTTTGGTTAGTCTATGGTAAAACAAAGTAGATATTATGAATAAAACTGACATTACTGACAGACCAACATCTAGTGTGTCATATAAGTTTATTTATTTTATTTATTATGATTTAACCACAAGTATTTATTTGTAGGGCTAAAGTTCTGCTTTTTGTTTATTTTTACGAGAGATAATCACACTCTTAGATTTAGTTTGATAAATTATCAGCTAACAATAAAAATGGAATTTATAAGGTAAATTTTGTTAGCACTTTTGAAGAACAAACCAAAAGACTTAAGGGTTTCTGTGTTGCTTAAAGACATTTATGTTCCCAATATGTTTTTGTGTTTTTTGTCGTAAAAAAAATATTTATCCCAAGAATAAACTGTGTTCCATTTTGTATATTTTTTTGCATATAGGGTCTACTTATTTTATAGACAATTTTTTTCAAACTTTTAATTTATTTTCTGATTGTATTGTACTTTATTTTCTACATTTAAGAGTAATTCCTCCATCAAAATTATCACTTCAACTGTCGCTCAACCTTTTGATTACATCTGCTGTCTGCGTAAATTAAATCCAAAATACAGAAGGTACATTAAAATTGAACTTGCAATTTCTGCAAACTGGCACAGAAAACGTACTACTATAACCCAGAATGCCAACCGCATGGTAAAAAGCATTAAGCGTTTTGAGAGAGCTTTGCCTGTCAATCCGTAGGCAGCGCCACCAGCGTTGCCATGCAATAGCATAGCAACGCTGGTGGCGCTGCCTACGGATTGACAAGCAAAGCTCTCTCAAAACGCTTAATGCTTTTTACCATGCGGTTGGCATTCTGGGTTATAGTAGTACGTTTTCTGTGAAACTGGGCAGCAAAGTTTGTTTCACTATGCTGTATATTGTTTTGTAGTTTTCTTATGTTTTTTTTTTTTCAGTACAGTATTGTAATATTATTGTGCAATGCTTTAAACTTTTTCATTAATTTTGTTTTTCATTTTTTCATAAACAACATACATTCTAAGGTAGGATTACTGTGACAATGTGTCTTATATAAATCATGCTCACTAATCAAGTAGGTAGCGTAATAGTTATAGACCTATATACAGTTATACACCTACGCCTTGTCTACATCTGCTAGTCTTGTATGTATTTCTGTTCAGTTTTGTACAGTTCTGTATATTGGCCACTACACGATGCACTGAACTCGTGCCATGTAGTTGTAAATATTGTCTTATGATTTTGTAATTACTTATTTTACAGTAAAGTGCTAATATTATTTGTTGTTTTTATATCCTTCTGTAAAACCTACCTTGAACTGTGTAAAAACTTTGATTATTGACAGACAGATTCCCATGTTAAAGATGTTGTTAGTTTAAAAATGAAAATTAACACAGTTGATTTAAATCACTGATTTCTGTTGAATACGTAAAATTTCAAACCAAGCCAAATTGAAAAGAAACCATATTGCGAACTAAAAAGTCTTGTAACAGTAATAAAGCTTAAGGTCCAGGAATAATATAATTTTAACACACCCTGAGAGTAGGGGAGAGTGTTGTACCTTTGACCAGTTTTCACTTAAAAATTTTTTGTAGAGACAGGAAAGCTCCAATTATTTTAAAAACAATCAATGATGATACTTAACTGTAACACCATCCATGGATAAAATATAATATATGTAATTGCATCCATGGATTAAATATTTTTTCCAGTTCCTTGTCATAAGATTTAACCTATTTTTAGTAATAAAGAAAATTTGTTACATGTTGGTCAAAGGTTCAACATGCTGTTGTACCTTTGACCAGTGGGTGTTGTACCTTTGACCAGCATATCGATTTCAGCCCAAAACAGGTAGAAAAAAACTAATATATATCTTACATGATAGTTTTTAAAATATAAAACCAGATACATAAAGTTGAACTAATTATTAATTTCATCAAGATAAAAAAATGGCTTATTCTACTTTTTAGGATGAAAAGTCCACTGCAAAATTGAAAAATTCTCTTTGACGTGCTTATCCACTTGATTTGGCAGTGTTGGGGAGCTTGGTGACAACCTCCTGTAGGTTCCACAAAATAATAGCTTTGATATTAATACATTAACATATTTCAATAAAAACCAATAATAACTACACTGATTACAGATGATGTTGTACCTTTGACCTGGTCAAAGGAACACCACTATTAAGTGGTCAAAGGTACAACACTAGCGCTTCCCGCCATTTTTATATATATTCTCAAAAGATATGTGATAATATCAGTTTCAAACATCCAAGAGAAGTTAGAGGATAAACATCAAATAATAACCCCTCACTTTCACTTTTATTTGTAGAAAAATATACATTTTATAAAACAAACAATAAGTCAACAAATTTTTACTTTTCAGTAGCAAAAATGAATAAACTAAAATATCTCCCAACAAACACAGTTTCCAATCTCCAATGCAAGGTGAAGTAGTCCTCTGGTGGCTGATCTATGGACTAGTTTCATTAGCTTCCCTATACAGCCTCTAGATTTCACTATATGACTGGTGGTCAAAGGTACAAGATGGTCAAAGGTACAACACTCTCCCCTCTCTTTTAAAGAAAATTGACTACAGCTGGTCCATATAAAAGGATTTCTAGTTCAGCATCCAAAAGTCAACGGTAAAATGGAACTTCTGTTATTTTTAAAATGGGAGTGCCAAGTGCCATATACATGCAACAGAATATGGGGTGAGCAACTGTTCATAATTAATTGGTATCTCAGAAACTTAGATTTAGAATAAAAATTGAAGGGAGAACTTCAACTGGGCTAAATTTCTCAAAAAACAACTTGTATTTTATAATCGTTTCAGAATTTAAATACAATTTAATTCATCATTGGGGTGTAAAGTGAATCTTTTCGACCCGAGCCTAAGTTTCACAACTGAAAGAGACACTTTTGAGACACGTTGATGAACTTTATTTTTCGTCATATTGCAACTTTATTTTAACAAACTAAGTTAAAAAAGAAAAATACTGTTCATGTTAAGATCACCTCTCAAAACAAATTTCAACTTGTTTTTAATTTTGCTAATGCAAATTAAGCAGGTGTTCAGTAAATGATACAATCGTTTCGCCCATTACAATTGTCTTACCGTATATTATACCATCGACATGTCAAACTATTGACAATTATGCACCAATAAGCTACAATTGAAGTTTACAATTTTGTCACAACAGCAAATCTTTGCAACCTAGGGACTAAAAGGGCTTTTTACTCCCTATGAAGTAGACAACCTACTTTATACCATGCATGTATTAAAAACGGCTGTTTAGCTGCAGTATGACCACAGACGAAATTCTTTTTATTCTACCCTTTTTTCAAAAGCTACTCTATTTGGAGCCAAAGAGTGTGTTACACCTTGGAAAATGTAGCTTTCAGTGTAGTCAATTATAAATTTAAAATACTTGAATTCTAGTTTTCATGATTAAACCCATGTGTCTTTATGATATCTATGTCCAAATAATGTCTACAGTGGACATGTATCTCTTCAGACCACTTTTTTATAAATAGGGATCCATAGACACCTGCATCAGCAATAATTAATCAGAAGCGAAGATGTTGGTAAAAACTAGTAGGCATACTGTATAAAAGGTAATAGTGGGAGCTGGTCTTATGGTAAAGTACGATAACTCTGTCACCGAGGTCAC